GGAAGGTGTAGACCAAGGAAGAGGTCCAGGAAAGGCAATAGGGAATGACTTCAGGGTTATTGGAAGAAGGAATTCTCCTGTTGGAAGCCCAGCAAGAGGATGCCAGGGTTGGGGTTTGGCCCAAAGAGAAGACACTGAGAATGCCTGTGCAAAGCTGGTGTTGKGCCAGGAGCACTTTGAGGTTTGGCTTGGGGCAAGAGTCATCTRTTTTGGTGCTTAATCACCTGTTTCACTGCCTAATTTTAAGAGTCTGTTTCTTCTCACCTTTAAAATCCAGAACATGGCGTTGTAGCGCTGCTTTGGGGAGTCATTGAGACATCTCCTCAGTTCACGTGAGATCCGTGATGGAAGCTCTTGGCTGGGTCAGATATGAAGCCAGAACCCGACTCAGTCTCCATCTGTTTTTTTTCTGTCGAGTTCACATTTTCCCTGGCATTGATCTTACCATGTTCAACTCCTTGTGCAAGAGATCTGAAGGACCGACTGGAGCCCAGGTTTGGTGTTGAGTCTCACCTGGAGGAGGCTCAGGTGACTCCAGGATCGGAATAATCTGCACATCTTGTCTGAAGACGTCAGAGTGACTCAATGTGGGCGTCTTATCTGCAGGAGCTGAGTGTGGTCAGCACCCAGGCATCTGGCTGACTTGGCAGATCTTCTCCTTGGTTATGGAACCTCCTCATGGGATGTTCCAGTGAAGTCCTGGTGCCTTTGTACCACGGGTTTGGTGTTCAGGAGGGAGGCCAGGAGAAGGGATGATCTGTTTTCTGCACCTAAACCCGAGGCATTCTGCAGCTCCCCTGGGCTGCTACTCATGAACGAGTGAACTGGGCTGCAGGATGGTCTGGGGAGCTTCAATCTCCATCTGGGAGGTGACCACGGAGAAACCAGTCCATCCTGATTGCAGCTGCTGTTGGAAGGAGGGTGTCCCCTCCATGCTGTGGGGCTGCTGCCCGTTCTCCAGCTGCAGGAACAACCTCTGCATAACCCTTGGCCCGTCTTGCTCCCCTTCAAAGGTGGAGAACCTTTTCTCTCAAGGGTGGGGTCACCACTGGCCAACTCTTTCCTGAGTTCCTGGGGAGGGCTAATCCTTGGAAAAGTGTTTTCTGAGTCCCTCAGGGGTGGGATAACCCTTGCCAGCTCTCACCTGAAGCCCTCAGGACGGGGATAACCCTTGCCCAATCAGGAGTTAGGGGTGGGATAACTCTTGGCCAACTGTTGAGTCTCTCAAGGGTAGGACAACCCTCGGCGAACCGCTGGCTCCTTCAGGGTAACATTCTCCCCTCCTCCTCCACACCCCATTCCCTGCAGACTTTGGGGCCTCGAATCCCCATCCCAGTGAAAGTCAGGATCATTTATGTTTCTGATGCCTCGTGGTATTTTCAAACCCCATTTAGTTGCCCAGATCTCATTGGAGACTGAAAATTCCTTCTGAAGGTCTGTGTTTGTATGTAGGTATTTGAATGGCCTTAAATTCATGTTTTAAATATTTTCAAGGGCTGGAATGTGCATTTTCTGTCACTTTTTCATTACTTGCGCCGTTTTCTAGATAAATACGAACATTCATTTTCTATTTAATTAATTAAATTATTCAAGTATTTAATTGGCAATGTCCAGGTAGATCAAACCTTCAGAATTCTTTTTAAATAACATTTACAGACGGCTTCCTTTGAAACTAGAATCTATTTTTTTTAAATAAAAAATTATACCATTTGATTTGATTTATTATCAGATATTATTTGTATTTCCTATAATTAATTAAAATTTCATTTACATGCAACACAAAAAAGGGGTTTATTTCAGAGACATCCTATAAAATAAATTTCTAAACCACATTCCTAAACCACATTCCTTTCCCAATAGATTATTAGGAAGCAAAAGGTTATACTGTGCCTTGGGGGTTGCAACAGCTCCATTTCTCAGCAGGTTTTTCCATGTCAGTCATCTCATTTTTGTGAAAAAAAACCAAGTAAATCAGAGGTCGTAGGATTCACCAGAGCAGCAGGAATCCATCACC